TTTATTTTCCTTTCCTCTCCCTTCCCACCCCATAAAAAGCATTTACGAATTTTATCAATGGAATGGATTATACCTTTTGGGATTATGAAGACTGAAATCAGGAATACGGGCAAACTTGATAGCACTGAATTGATAAGCATGATGCGACCTCCCATAGATAGATGTCTACCCTTCCAACTAGCCAGCTTCCTTTTAACAGAGTCTACCAGTGGCTGCCACATGGCTACTCTTCTATGACTCCCACCAATTGGAATTCCTAGATATTTAAATGGGAACTCTCCTTCTTTACAACACAGTCGGTAGGCCATTTTAGATCTCCAGTTTTGTTCTACTCCTACTCCCATCAGTTGACTATTTCTAAAATTTATTTTCAACCCCGAAGCCAATTCGAAGGTTCTCATAATGCACTTGATCACCCAAATATTCTATTCTGATGCCTCCCCGAACAATATGGTATCATCCGCAAATTGTAGGTGTGTTACCATAATATCTCCACTGCCAATTGGCACATGTTTATACCTTTTCTTCTCCACTGTCGATGACACTAGATCATTCAATCCCTCTACAACAATCAAGAATAAGAATAGGGACAGCGGGTCACCTTGGCAGATGCCTCTATTAACTGAGAATTGTTTCGTCGAACTACCATTTATGAGAATTGAAACAGAGCTTGATTTTAGGCATTCCTGTATCCATTTTCTCCAGGTTGCACTAAACCCCATCCTCATCATCATATAGTCTATAAACTCCCAACACACTTTGTCATATGCTTTCTCAAAATCTACCTTAAATAGAAAACACTTTTTCTTCTTCCTTTTGGCTTCGTCAATAACTTCATTTGCAATCACTACTCCATCCACTAATTGTCTTCCCTTGATGAAAGCCATCTGTTGCTCCCCGATTACCTTGGATAACACCTTACGCAATCGGTTTGTTAGTAATTTTGAGATGACTTTGTACATAACACCTATTAGTGAGATGAGTTTGTATTCTTCAATTCCCTGGGGGCTTTCAGTCTTTGGGATTAACACAATGAAAGAGGCATTTGACCCTTTGACGAGCCTACCATGTTTTTGGAATTCTTGTACAAAGCCAACCACATCTGGTTTTATGACCTCCCACATCATCTTTATAAATCTGAAGTTGAATCCATCTGGACCTGGAGCTTTGGATGAGTCACAATTCCATATTGCTTCTTTAATTTCCTGTTCCAAGAATGCTACTGTGAGGAGCTCATTATCTTCCTTTGTTATTTGCTTGAAGCTTATCCCATCTAGCTTAGGTCTCTTCCATTTTTCTTCTGTAAACATTTCTTGGAAGTACTTGGCAACCCCTTCCTTTATTTCTTCCACTTCTGTATATTGTTTCCCATTGATCCGAATACTACTGATCTCATTTCTTCTCCATCTTCCTTTCACACATTTATGGAAGAATTTTGTATTCGCGTCCCCTTCTTTTAACCATAGCTTCCTTGATTTTTGTTGCCACATCCTCTCCTTAATTCTCAAATTCTTCCATAGATCAATAAAGTTGTTTCTCCTTTTGTCTACATCAGTAGCCGACAATTGATTCTGTTCTCCTTTCTTATCTATTGCAGCAATAACAGTTTCGGCTTCCTTTATCTTGCTGTCCATCTCTGTGTTCATTTGATAACTCCACTCTTTAAGCACTTGTTTTGTTCTTTTCAGTTTCTCCTTGAGCTTAAATCCATTCCATCCACTCACTTCATTGTTGGTCCATGCATTTGTGATCACCTCCTTGCATCCTGGTTGTTCAAGCCAAGCATCATAATATTTGAATGGTTTTGGGCCCCAGTCAACACATTCATTCCTCAGCAAAACAGGACAGTGGTTTGAAACTGACCTCCTCAACCCCCACTGTTTCACATCACTCCATTTTGTGGTCCATTCTTCAGATAATAAAAATCTGTCAATCCTGCTCATGTATTGTCCATTAGAATTATACCAGGTGTATTTTCTCCCCACCAACGGCAAATCAATCAGCCCTGTGTTATGGATAAAAGCATCAAATTCCCTCATTTAATTAGTAGTCACAGTACACCCTGCTCGTTCCTCAACACTTCTCACAGCATTATAATCCCCTGCTAAACACCAGTTCCCCCTTCTGTTATTTATTAAGCCTTGCAACTGCTCCCATAAGGCTCTCTTGCTTGCGAGTTGACAAGGTGAGTACACATTTAAAATGTACACAGGTGTTTTTTCTGCTCCCCACAACCCAAACACCCCAATAAAATTATCTCCCTCTATAACCTCTTCCTTCTTGAGCACTTTGGAATTCCAAACACAAAGCAAGCCTCCTGAATTGCCATTAAATGGCTTTGAAACCCACTCCATATCATCTGTCCCCTATAAGCTTCTGCAAATTTTTCTATCTATTGCTTCCATCTTAGTCTCTTGAATTGCTAGAAATTGAATTCTTTCTTTTATAACTAACTCCCTGATCTGCCTGTTTTTCCCATCCCCTCCAAGACCTCTAATATTAAATGACAGCAATATCATTGAGATCTTTACATACCTTCTTATTGGCTTCATCATCTCGGTTCACCATGGTTAAGCTTGCTTGTCTATCTCTAACCTCCATCTCTTCAATTCTTTGGATCACCTCATTATCGTCTTCTGCCATTGCTCCGAGTTGTGTCGCCAGATCCCAAATCTCCTTGGCCAATTTGTTTTGCCACTGCTTCTTCAGAGATCTGTTACAATTCTGTATACCACTATCTCCAATTGAATCTCCGACAACTTTTCCATTTGGGTTTGGTAGGAATGTTGGAATTGGTTTCCCTTCCATTTGTTGCGTGCTTTGTTTCCCTCTTCCTCTTTTTCTTTTTGCTCTTACATCCCTTACACTGGTTTCTAAATACACCGAGCTGCATCGCCTCACCCTCCTTTTCCTTTTTGAACTCATCTCCTCTAACTGTTTGCCAATCCAGTCTTCTATGCGACCTCTTTCCATTTTGTGCCCCTTCCAAAACACATCTTCATTGTCGCTGTTGCTTTCATCTCTAGAATTTTCGCTTCTAAATGAGCCTCTTTCCTTGTTTGTATTTTGGATCACCTTTGCCACTTTAGCTTGGGCTAGACACATGTTTGTAGATTCCTCTCCCTTTGGGCTTTCTTTTTGTGGGATAGGCTTCTCCTTCGGTTGCTCATTGGGCTTCATTTTATGGTCCCTTTTTTCCCCAACTTCTTATATACTTTCTGTCAAAGACTCTTGGGTTCCCTGTCTTTTTGTCATCCCGCCTGCCCCTGTACTTCCAGCAGTAGCATTTAAAATTTGAATTTCTTCCAGGCTATCATCCCTTGTTTCTGCTGGTTCCCGTTCCTCCTTACTGGCTAGTTCCGAAGATCTTCTCACTCCATCTTTCATATGTGGCACCACATCATCATCTTCTTCAGTTGAGCACCCAACCTATTCTTCTTCATTCTTCTTGGCTATTGCTGCATCCTGCATCGCCGAATCACTTCTAATAGACCATGTCTCATGATCTTCTGTCTCACTATTAAAAGAAGGCATAAAATCTTGTTTTTGAGAAAAGAAGCTGTTTGTGAATTCTTCCTCTGTAAATTTCACACTATACATGCTTCCATTAATCTTGATTTGCCTTGTGACTGAGATTGTCTCCATAATTGGTGTGGAGATAAAAAATCTAGCAATGTCAAACCTTTTCTTTTTGCTTGTACTATCATCCAAGCATATGAATTTTCCCCATGAGCAGCCCATGGTTGAAAAGAAATTAGTTTCCCAGGCGTTCAATGGTACCCCTTGAGACCTTATCCATACAATCTCTCATTTGCAACCATTTTTGGTGTCCATGGGTGCACCTCTACAAACCACTGCCTTAGCCAATCTGATGCCATTTCAACCAAGTCCTTCAGCTCTTCTTTATCTTCACATGATAGCAGAACCAATTTGCCTCCCATTGCCCGAATTTGACAAGAAAATTACCCTTCCATGTAAAACTTTTCTTGTAAATTTCGCACCATCTCCACGGAGTGTGCTGTTCCGACATAGCAGCCATCTAACCAAGCCTGCTCTTCAGATTTGCAGTTGTACTCCAGGCCGGCCCATTTTTCTCCCACTCTTTTCTCCTTCGAGATTTTCCTAGTTACCAATTGCCTGTACCCGAGTCCGCCTCAACCCCTGTAACTCCCCTGGTTGTCTTGCTCTGCATGCTTTTTATCTTCAGCAGCCGTCCTTCGGAAATTAATCTGGCCATCTCTGCCCTGTGTTCTCTTCTCCTCCTTCCCACTAATTTCTTGCATACCCTTCACTACCTCCGCATAACTTCTGTTATGGGCCACTGTCACCATTTCTCTGTTGTTTCTTTTCTGCCTCTCTTCCTGTTTCTCATCATCATATCGCGGCCTATTGACCCAAAGTTTCTGCCCCCCCACCCAAATCTAGTCCAACTGTCTTTCTAATTCCTTCTCATCTTTCACTTCTAGAAATCTCACAAAGTCAAATTTACTTTCGTTCTTGCTTTTTCTACTTGGGCTGTAGATGTCATAAACTCGTCCATATTTCAAGAACGTCCTCCACATATCCCATAGCTCCACTCGTCTGGACAGTTGGTGAAGAAGTATGATGTGGCTTGCTTGTACAGACCCCAGTTGTATGTCCCCTCTTCCTTCCGTTTCCGAACCTGGTACTGATTACTCTGCCCTCTCCCTATGAATGCTGGCTCCCCCCTCCGTTGGTGACTTCTTCCATAAGAATCTGCATGCTCTCGATTCAGTGCCGTCCGCCTTGCCCGTGAACTCTGTCCGTCTCTATCCCCTCTCGTTCTCTCTCTACCTCTCTCTCTCATTCTGTAAACTAAAAGTTTGATGACATTGGATAAGAGATTATCATTCTTTTCTTTTTTCCCTTTTACTTTTCTAACATCCTTTGTTTGTTCTTTAGTGCTTGAAGTGGCTTGACTCAAAAAAATTCCAATTCGGTCGTTTACAATGGGACTTTTTGTTTTGGAAGTTTGGCACTTTTTGATGCAGTGCAACTCAAAGAGATTGCATGGGACTTGAAGGTTTGGGACAAGAATTCATTTGGGTTGTTCCGAAATTGGAAAACAATGAGGGAGAGGATGATTTGCTTGAGTTTGAGAAGAGAATGGAAGGGAGAAGACTAATTATGAGAGGATGAGCACCGCAACTGTTGATTCCTAAGCACGAAGCAGTTGGAGGATTTGTAACTCATTGTGGGTGGAATTCAACACTAGAAGTTGTGGCGGTCGGGCTACCAATGGTTACATGGCCACTGGAATCGGTACAATTCTGCAACGAAAAGTTGGCAAATGAAGTTGTGAAGATTGGAGTTGGTGTTGGGGTAAAAGAATGGGTTAGAGTGGTGGGTGATTTTGTGAAGAGAGAAGCAATAGAGAATGATGTGAAGGAGATAATGTTCGGGCCTTCGGGGAGAGAGCAGAGGAGATGAGGAGCAGAGCCAGGGGCATTAGGGGACCTGGCCAAATGGGCTGTTGAGAGAGGAGGCCCGTCGTACCATAATTTGAGTTGTTTTTGGAAATAGGAAATGGAATAATTTGAGTTGTTTGATTCAAGAGCTCTTGAGCTTACCCGGCAGTTGAATAAAGGAAAGAAAGAATGGTGGTTGATGCTGTTAGGTGTACGTGTAGAATCGGTTTGGTTCTAGAATTTGGTTTCACTAAT